CTTTAATGAATTTAACTAGCTATTAGTTTATATTTCTTATTAGTAGTAATTAGAATCCTTTTAGCTTAATAAGTTATATAAACTTTGCTTTAAATATATAATAGACCTTTTTTTATTAAAAAGTAGATTATTTATTAAAATCTTTGTATAATAATATTATTAGGTTTTTTTTTAAATACTTAAAATAAAGTATTTCTATGTTAATATATATAATATATATAGTTATCTTTTCTTTAGATAGTACCTATATAATATTAACTAGATTTCCTTAGTATCTAGGATTCATAGTCTTCTTCTATGTATATAGTAAGACTTTGCTTTTTATACTTGTTTCTTTATATATTAGTAGGTATCTATTAATATTATTATATTAGCTTTAACGATTATTTTTTGGATTCTCTTAGAAAGCTATGTTATATTTAGTAGTTATTTTATATTATATAATATTAAAATTAGTTTATTTAGTGCTATAGTATATACTTTGTACTTTATATATAGTATAATAAAGATTTTTGTTTAGTTTAGCTTAGTAGGTAATAATAGGAATCTGTTTTATATAATAGTAAAGTAAAAGTTATTTTTATCTTATTTACTTAGTTTAGCTTAGTAAACGATAATAAGTAAGATTAAGGCTTTTTAGTACAAGAGACTTTCTAGTGTAACCTTTTAAGTATCCCTAAGGATTTCTTGCTTTATATAAAGTATAAGACTACTTAGTAGCCTAGCTATAAAGCCTAAGTCTTGTCTTTTTATTTTTATTAATTTGTAATTATATAAAGTAATTATATAGATTACTAAGTAACTACTAATTAGTGTTAAATGGATTTTTTCTTTCTAAGAGAACCTGTTTATATGATTATACTCGGGTTAAAGTTAAGGTAAACTAAAGATGTATTTTCTGTAATTATCTTCCTAACTATAAGACTTAGCTTTCATATATAAGATATATGATCTTATATGTCCTTAAGTCAGTTTAGTATAAATATACTTTTGATCCCTTTAATAGATAACTAAGAGCTAAATATCTAGTCTATGCCCTCTGCTATGATGTGTGTCCCTGAGTTATATATGTCGTATAACCAGCTGGTGCTGTTATTTTAACATAAATATATATTACTACTTTACTAAAACTAAATAATCTAAGTTATAAATATCTTAACTTAGGTATAGCTTAAAATAAAGCTGAACTTAATTTATATAAGAGCTTAAGAAACTAAAAAGCTTTTTTAAAAGCTACTAAGTCTCTAATACTCTTCTTTTACTTACTTCTTATTATATACACTTTTTAGTTAGCTATAAAGGGTTATATAAAGTACCCCTTAATCTAAGGCAGCCTTTCAGCTAATCTTCCTATCCAACACGTTTGTCTTAGCGCAATAAAGGTACTTAGGCGCATATTTAGGTATAGCAAATCAATTAGTATTTTCCAAAATATTAATTAGAATTTTGTTAATTATTGACGCGTTACAGCAGAAATCAGGGTTGGTGTTAGATGAGGGAAAAAGTGTGGCCAAAAGCGGTGATTGGTTGTGGGGGTGATCGGTTGTGGGGGTGCCCCTCTTATTCCGTTTCCTCTTACGGGCTGCGGGGCACACAAGGGTTATCCGTGATCGGCATCTTGCTTGGAGGTGAACATTTGTGGCTTTCGTTGTCCAAGCAGCTCCCAGACGCAGATAACAGAGTAATTTTTTTACAGCCTAGCCAGTTTGGGTGCTGGCCGGCGTGACATATAATGGAGAGCAGGGAACAATGAGATAAGGTTCTCCGAAGCTTTTATTCTGTGACGCAGTTGGTTGTTCTGACATGCTTGTGACATAAGGCTGAGAGTCTCTATGCAACAAGTTGACGGTGCTGGTGACGTTAGGATCCTTACGACTAGGGTTGTAGAATGCCAAGCTGGTGTTGCCTTCACAACTGTGTATGTTAGAAACCGGAAACCCTATACAAGTAATTACTAGGATGAACGTAATGAGAGTAGAATCCACTAGAAACGTAAGAGAGGAGATGGCTGTACACCGTTTAATGTCTTTTGTTCACTTGCCGTCAGACTACAAAACCGCAAAATTCTAAAACAAACAAAGAGTAGACTGCCTTTGAGTAAAAGAAATACATACAACACCAGGTATTCGCTGGTCGTCACCGACCCAACTACTAATCCGGCCCTCACTAGCTTGTCTATGGGAGAGCGGACGGGATCCCGAGTTCTCCAGTGGGTATGGTCGTATGTGAAGGAAAGTACGTGTGAAGCTACCTGAGTAGTCTGCTCGGAACGGAGAAGAGACAGCTTCTTTGCGATGGCTTTGATCACCTGGTGTGAAGAGTACGGCACTTTATTTTAAAATCTTATTTACTTCCGGCCGGCCAGGCTAACCGGATCCTGAATTAATTTCGAGAAAGATGGGCGGAGTTGCCTGACTTACAATGATAAAGCCAGCGGATTAAACATAACATTAGCCAATCCATGTAACGACCATGAACTCAGAAACACCGAGTAGGGTTAAAAATCCCCAACCCATGGGTCCCCATGAGGACCCAGATAAATGGGTTGGGTCAACCGGTCAACCCATGAAATGGGTTTTTTGGGTTTTGGGTATTTGGGCATTCTTTTTTTTGGGAATGGGTATAAAAAATCCCCATACCCAGATGATAAGATAAGGATAGGTTTATGGGTTAAGAATATTTGCTGGGTTTTCTGCTTATTACGTGATAGATACCCATACTACCCATATCCAGCGAACAGGAATCCCCATTTGGGTATAACCCAAAAACCCATACCCATAATCTCAAGAAAAACGCATCAAATTGTAAGCCGCGCAGCTGGGTCAGAAAAATCAATCAATTCTTCGATTCTGAGCAAAGTGATGTGTATTGTCTAAAAGCAAATATCTACCGGCGGCGGCTGATCGATTGTAAGGTAGGTATTTGTTCTCATCAATGGCGGAGTTGCCAAATCCATCTATCCATGCCTGCCACACCCATAACCCATTTCAACCCATAACCCATATGGGTACCCAACAGATACCCATGGGGATTTTTAACACTAACACCGAGGGCAAACTTAACGTAAGAGAGAAAGGGAATAAACAAAGCAGGCAATTTTAACACGCTCAATCTCATGTATCACTATATTTTCTTGCATAGGGTAAACATCTACTAGATGTGGAAAAGATTTACTAGGTGGGTGTTACTTCATCGGCTATAATGAATGAAATCAAGTCTTTTTACTGCTACTATCTCCATCCAATGCGATTCTTTCTGTATTATTAGTATAATTAACAGTTTGGTTACTTTGGAAGAAGAGCTGTTTAAGGTGTGGTCGTGAGACCTTTGCTCTGACAGGTCATTCTGTCACCTCAATTTCTCAAACCGCTTGCTCTTGCGAAATACTCTACGTCGCTCAGCCGCGCCCACTTAGTTAGAAAAAGCCATTTGAACTTCGAAAGCCAGCACTTGCGAACCCCTACTTATTAGACCAAAAAGAGTTACACAAATTTAAAGATAACTGTTGGAATAGAGATTCGCACGCATTCGTACGCATTTAAGCGGTAATGCCACCTGCACATTAGTCAGCAGAATCCAGCCTATATAAGGGCCAGATCTGCCAGATATCTAGGACTTAGAACATTATCGGCAACAAATACAGTGACGGTCAACCCCTATTATCGTGTGCCTCCAGCAACGCGCGAGCTATTCCGAAAATAACGAATAAACACGCCAGCCCACAACTAGCCCGAACGACATGCCCACTCCTAGCACATACGTCCCTAATGGATTTTAACAGACATTGAAATTCCATTCTGGGTAGCGAATAGAGCAGGATATTAGACGAGTCGCGCAGTGTAGGGTCCTAACCATCGCATGATAAGGCCGCTTGTGCTGTTCTCTAGCGTGATGGCAACGTGCCTGATCCTAGCTATCCCGTTCCCTCGGCCGGCCGCCAGCCACTACATGGTTTTCCCAGCTTCCAGATCCTAAAACGACTCGATTTGGCTAATGAGAGATCATTAACTTTAATGCTTATGTTGTTGTTAGCGCCATATTCTTACGAAAGCAGCTTTCTGATATCCTCGGATAAGCCAACTGCATTGTAGATTCCTTTAGATCATCTGACTTCGCCTTTGCAGCAACATCAACTTCGTATAATGCCAGAACTGTTACAGAAGAAATCACTTCTGACCTGTTAGTATCAGAAGCTGTCCTCGTATTTAAATCTGTTTGTCATGGCCAATAGAGGAAAAAGAAGTGACATCTAGAGATCACAACAGTCACATTGTAATGATGAGCACCGTTTTGGACAACTTTACATGATATCAAACATTTTGCCTCAGCTATCCCCACAAGTTTAAAATAGCAGGCATTCCAAAGATAATTATGCCTCTTGAATAACATGGTCAATGGTGTATCCTGCGCAAAATGAGCACTTAGCGGTGGATACTGGTACTCGAAAAGTAACGATTTTGGCTGAAAATGGCGGGTTTGATTACATCCTACCAACAGACGAATGGGACGACCAGAATCACAGTCCTTACTTTGATATGCACCATTCGGGCTACTCGTACAAGTCTTTTTCCCATTCCATACCTGGTCTCAGCGGGAGACTCTCGAAGCACTCGGCACATAGCGGACCAATTTCATTTTTCCCGAGTCCGCCTACAAAGTGGCTGAGGCGGGTAGTAGTAGAAGGAGCTACCGCGGAACATCTAAATATCTTGTGTGGATAAATGAGAACGGTCTAGCCTGTATCTGCACATACACTCTTATAGCTTTGCCTGCTCTTCTCTTGTCAAAACTCGCCGCGGAGGTCCTGCCCGACTGCCATCACCCAGCATTGTCATTTCTTCCTCATCGTCTGACACCAGAAGCTGCCATTGTTGGCGCAAAGTTTCCGGAGCGGTGCCTTCAAAGCAGTCGGCGACATACTTTCCGAGAATAGGAAGAAACTTAAACGCACTAAAGCAAAGTTATCTCTTGTGTGCTCCAAAAATACTGTTCGCTTCCACTTACTGGCCCGAGCCACCCGTGGCAAAGAATAGCCCATCGACATGGGGATGGTGGCTCACGACGAAGTCGCTTGTTGGTGTCTCTGTGTACCAGCAGAGGCGTCGTCGGAGCCACGGCCGATTAGCAAATGCCGGAAAGAACTGGCGCAGACCATCACGGAGTGCCTCGTCGGCATCAAGGGGTAGAAATCCAGACAGAGAGTTATCTCGCTCTGGGTTGGGTGATGACACAGTCCGCTGCTTGACGGTTCCGGCGCCGTCTGAAGCAATGGAGGCCGAAACGCGTGTTGCGTATCCAAATCCGTGGCGGGCTAGCTTGAGCAAATGGGTGCCCGGGGTCGGAGGGAAGCAAAAGACACCCGTCGTCATGTTCATCATGACGGGAGTTGATGCCAGAGTGGCCGCCTCATCCGGGGTTAGTTGGACAAAGCCGATGGGCTGGCTGGATGCAGTTATGGCGCGATTGACACCGGAAACCAGGGTGTTTGTCCACGCTCCTGTTGCGAGTACAACGTGGACGGCTGGCATTTTCCGTCCCGACGACAGCTTCACACCGATAACTCGCTTTCCAGTAGAGTCATACTTCAATCCCACAACAGTTCCCATCTTTCCCGCAAAGAATGACACGCCAGCTTGGCTTGCTGCTCGCGCCAGCGCTTGGATAGCCGCGCCTGCATCGGCCCAGCCGCCTTCGGGGTTGTGAATGGCTGCTAGACCCTTTATGTCTGCCTGTACCGCCGGGTACAGGTGCTTTATGGCCCTATCAGCCTCCTCGGCGTCAAAGTCCTGCGCCAGAGACTTTCTCTCTGCGTGTTTTCCATGTCGTTCCTTTCTTACCTTGGCGGTGTATGGGGTGTCGTCCCTGCCTGTAAGCAAGACAAAGCCGCATTCGTGGTAGTAAGATGCGTACTCGTGACGCCAACCGTTCAGTGCCTCTTCGGCAAGCCTGGCGTACAACGGATCCGCATATTCAGTTCTAATAATGCGCGAGACGTCAACGCTGCTACCGTCAGGGACAGGAGGTAGGTAACGGTCAAGCACGGTGATGTTGGTGTAGCCACGGACGTGAGCCAGCTCGTGAGCTAAACCGAGTCCAAAGACGCCGGCTCCGACGATGATGATGGGTTCGTTTGCCTTTGAGTGGCGGGGATAGGTATTAGCCATGGTATTGGCGGTATAAAGATTCAAGGGTTCAACTGGGGAGGATAGCGCAGTCGTGGGAGCAAAGTGGCTATCCAAAAGTAATGCTGATGCGAAGGCTTGATACCGAGAACTACGGAGTACAAAAGCACAACGGAAGCCGGAATAAGGCGGGCGTAACTTGGGAAACTTTACTGGACCAAAATTGTTGAGAATTGCAAGCTAGCAATCACCGCATGATGCAAGGACTTGCTGCGTTTTCTGAGTGCCACTGATAGGGGTGCATCACATGGCTTCATTAGTCTTGGCAAGCAAACTTATCCGAACACATTTCACCAGTCACCCCCCTCCTCAAACTGGATCAAGCAACATATCTAATAGGCAAGTGTTGATACAGAGTGGTCCATGTGCAGATAGCGCGTTCATTACTGATAAGGCAACGAAGCAAGGTGGTGGACGATGAGGGGTCATTACCTCGGTCTTCGCTTGCTGAGCCTATTAATACACGCGCAACAAACTCAATCTGCATCCAGGTGGCTATCTATCTATACCCATTCACAAAATATTTCTTATCCGCTGTCCAGCTTCATTGTGCATCCGTTATGCCGCATTCATCGCTTGCCACACTTCCGCAGCCTGAACAATACATCGTTCGACCGACGGCTCACTGTCCCAACAATGCTCTACCTGTGCTGGTCTATCGAGATGTACTGCCGGGGCCATACAATGAAGAGACGACATCCGAGTATCTCCAGCGATACGGATGGGTAAAGAAGGTGACTCAAAAATAATTGCAAAAGAACGCACACATTGGCAATCTCAATTGACATCGTGCTAGGGTACGTGGGGAACCATCACAACAAAACACTTTCATCCCAACACCCACGAATGTTACGGTAAGCTTGGGTCCCTATCTAGGTCCAAGGATGCTAATTCATCCTGATATGTCTGATAGGCATCTTTCAGGGCGACTCCGAGCTCGTCTTTGGTGAAGGTGGAGGCGACACGGCTGGGACTGGGGTCAGGTGTCTTGTCCGTGCAGGGGACGTCGTCGTTGTCCCCGCGGGCGTAGCCCACGCTTCGGTTGCTCAGGAGCGTGACATGGTTGAAGGGGTGCGCAAGGGAGAGAGGTACCGGTATATTGGGGTTTATCCTGAAGGCGCACCCAAATGGCGCAATGAGTACGGAAAGAAGCTGCTGAGTGATAATTGCGAGCTGGCCCAGGAAGTGAGTACTGTGCCAGTTCCGGACCAGGATCCTATCAGCGGGGTCGGGGGCCCGCTGGTGGAGATCTGGACCAGTATCGGGCTTCGTACTGCGTAGCGCACCGCCATCAAATCGCTTATCGGGAGGAGGTCTGCTGCTGGGTAACAGATCATACTATCGGGCTTCAAAGATACTCCATAAATAGTTGTTATCTCCATTTACCGCTCTGCGTACCGTTGTCGTTTTGGCCTAGTGGCCCGATAGGGAATAGTACGTTTCCGCAAAACCATGCCAGCCACGCGATAGGTTTGATCTTGCGTTGACTCGCGGGGGAAGGAAAATCGCCAGGAAGGATCCAAGTAGTGAGTTCGTCTCGGCCATGTAGCTGTCCAGCCCATCTAAGCCCGTGTGTAATCTCTGTCTTGTTGACAGGGTTGACTGAGGGAGGTGTTGGTATCCGTATTTATTTGTACTTGTCTCGCTTTCTTATTACGAGATCAGCATGAAACTCAAACAAATTTGACTACCGCCCTCTCATTTGACTTATATCGCTGCTGCTCTTCGGTCATGTTGAAACTTTTGGGTCTTACCTCAGCGTCGCCGTCCGGGCCGGAATTCTCGTCCTCAGAAGAACAGCGACGCGCCCTGCCGGCCTCATGGTATCGCTCCGAGGCCATGTACGAACTTGAGCGCCGCGCTATTTTTTCCCGCCAATGGCTACTCCTCACACACAATCTACGATTTACAAAGGCCGGTGACTACGTCTCTTTTAATCTTGCTGGCTTTCCCTTCTTCGTCGTCAAGGACCGTGATGGAGAATTCAATGCCTTTCACAACATTTGTCGCCATCGAGCCTACCCCATCATTGAACAGGACAGTGGTACCGCTAGGATTTTTTCCTGCAAGTATCACGGCTGGTCGTACAGCCTCAAGGGCAGCCTGGCTAAGGCACCACGTTTTGATACCGTCCCGACCTTCGATAAGTCTCAAAACGGCCTGCTCCCCATCCACACACACGTCGACAATCTAGGCTTTATCTGGGTGAATCTTGAAGCGAGTGAAAAGCCAAGTATCCCGTGGCACGCTGATCTTGCCATTGATGCTCAACCACGGTATGCTGTCTTCAACCTCATGCGGGACTATCATTTTGACCACACCTGGACGATGGATGGTGATTATAACTGGAAAACACTCGCCGACAACTACAATGAGTGCTATCACTGCCCTACAGGTCATCCTGGGGTCAATGCTGTGGCAGATCTCTCCCAATATTATGTTGAAACAGTCGGGGGGCAAATCCGACACTTCAATACGAACAAGGATGAAGAGGACAGGACCATGGCCGTTATAAGCACCTACCTCTTTCCTAACTCATCCATCACAGTAACGTAATTACACCTCTTCTAAATGAACACTGAGAAAAAAGGGTTGTATGCGGGCCTGATGCTAACAGATATCTTTGCATCACAGACCTCATTTCTTCTACATTCAGCGCTGCATCCCTGTTTCTGCCTCGAAAACAAACATGGAATACGAGGTGTACCGACACAACAGCGCAGACGATGAGGACTTCAACAGAATCAACCAGTTTTACAAGCAGGTTCTCCAGGAGGACAAGGACTTATGCAATGGTGCGCAGAAAAACCTGAATAACAATATTTTTATCAATGGACAGCTGCATCCCGAGAAGGAAAAGGTACGTCGAAAAGCCAGAAGAGCGCGTTGTGATCCCCTCTGGCCCTCCACGTATATGAGACTCGTCTGACTCAGTCTGCACGTTAGGGGCCGCTGTTTTTTCAGGACACGGTGCGCGAGCATGTAATGAGGCACCGCGCGCAAGAGGAGAAGGAAAATGGCGGTAAGGAAATCTGGCCCGCGTCACCCAAGCCAGCCAAAGCAATGGAGACGGGCAAACTGCTGGAGGAAGAACTGTTTTGTGCTGGTCTGGTGACGGGCGCTTGCCAGGGCCCTTCGGAGTTGAGCCAGTTGGCGTGGTAGCTATAGCACAGTCCGTTCATAGATCAAATGGATGCTTTAACGACTATAGATCTCAGATATGACGTCCGAATATGATCTCGTTCCTGTGAGGTGTAATAATTCAGTAGCCTGACCTGCCGTCAAGAAGCGCTGCGCAGCCTACAGTTGTGGCAATGTCATAGGTATAGAGGCCCGACCTCAGTGTTCAGCATGCTCATATATCTGCCAAAGAAGAACTTGTTTACTTATCATGAACATTTCCGAAGGCTACAGATGTTATCAAACGCGCGTTGCTTCTGTCGCTATTTCTGTCGGATTGACGACCTTCAAATCATTAGCTTTGGACAATGCATTTGATCAAGGCTGTGGAGTGCCCAAGTCAATTCGTAACCATGACTTTTGATGGACTAGTCTGACGATAAAATACGTTGCCACCATGGCACTATCGAGCGGTGATCCAAGACCTGATTTATCCATCCCCCACAAGGCACGCCAGCCGTACTACTCAAACGGAAGGAGAGCATAGAAAACAGCGAGGTGAAAAAACAGAGCGGCACATATGTACAAGGGTGTCACTGTTTTCGATCCACAACAACGGCAATGACTGCTGTTAACAGCCACATGGCACAGTTGCCAGCGACATCGATACCATTACCTGTGGTGCGATGAGCCGATGGGAAGACATCAGCGGTGTACGCTTAAAGAGTCCCGTGATAGACATTGATGCAAATAGCTGCGAAAAGTAGTGTTAAAGACCTTGGACATTTCATGGCGTATGACGAGTGTGAATTGCGGGGGGGACACTTATAAATCATACGACTCAAAGCAACGTCGTGCTGCGCCGTGCTCACAGCGGTGTAGCCAGAAAAGAACGTCATGGTCACAACTGCGCCCATCACCATTGTGTACCGAAGACCAAGAATCCTGATTTCGGTAATCAACCAGTCTTAACATGCCCGAAGATGACTCATAAGTTGACAATGGTATTAAGTCGCCAGGTTTTGTAAGAGGTGGGTAAATCAAACGCAATGTGATTCCTGTTCACTGACCTTTTTGTTCCTACCTGTTAGCACACAGCCACCTAGAGTTATGCAGGTGATCACCACTGATTCGGAACGGGGGTTATTAGCCAGCTTGCGGCAAGAACACCCAGAATAGAGGGTATGCTGGGCCGGGAGTCACGGTGACCTTTGGGATGAATAGCGAACAAACCAAGCGGAAATCTATGTAGAACATTTTAATACCTATCATCAAACTATTGATATGGTTTACAAACAGGTTGCGAGATTGGTGACAAGAGGCAGGTAGCCCGGAGGACGAACTGCTCGCGCCCAGGTAAGAAAGTCGTTACTCTTTTCCCACGCTATCCTGACCGAAGCCTGGACGAAAATGTATGCTTTGGACCTATTATTTGCCGATGGCTGGGGCATCATCGCTGAGCTTGCATACGACTATTGCCCGCTTGGCGCCGTCTCTTATCTGATGATCTCATCTCTGACATTCACATGCAACCGTGTTCTTACTACAACCTTGAGGGAGTACCTGGGGAACTTGTAACAGTTACAAAATCATGAGCGGCTAGAATTGATAGCGGATTTATGTCGGCTTCTTCCTGATGAACATGCTTCGGATTTCCTTCACCACGTCTCCTATCCACACAGCCAATCGGCGACGGTTGATAGACAGCCCCCTGTTGGCGACATCCATGCGAAGCATGATATCGTTATCTCCCCGCACACTGGACATGGGAGATAAGGGACTGGAGCCAAACTTTAGGTTACGCCTCGTTTGTCTGGCTATCGGGCTAGCCCCCGTTTTCACAAATTCAGAAAACATGCTTCATCGTTGAAGACTGGTAAGCTGCGCTGACGGGGTAGGGCCAGACGCTCGATTCAGGTCGGCACATAAGTAATTGCGTTGCTGGAGCTAGGTTGATTGCCGGCCCAGAAAGTTTACCAACTCCCTATTATTGAGATAAAGCACTGGCTAAAAAAAGGACAATCAATGTCTGATTCATTTCAAGCTCAAAAGAGCAAAACCCCCTCTGGACGTCGCGTGCGATGCATCATCATTGGAGCCGGGTAGGTGGACACCCACACCCTCCTTCACCCAAAACCTTTCATAGCATCCCATCTGTCCTTGCCAGCTAACCATTATATGTGTCAAAGCGTGTCTGGTATACTTATGGGTGAGCACGGTGCTCACATGCAGTCGAGACATGCTGAATCGATGCAGCGTACAAGCTTCAGACCTACCTGAAGGACGACATAGATTTCCATATATACGAAAAGTCACCAGATCTGGGAGGGACTTGGTTTGAAAATAGATATCCTGGTGGGTTCTCCTGCCTAGCAATCTACAGCAGCGTCATTAAGAATCGGTACGAATTGATCTGGTCCCAGGCTGCGCCTGCGACGTTTCTAGCCATGTTTATCAGTTCTCCTTTGCGCCTAACCCTGACTGGTCCCAGTTGTAAGAGAAATCCCTTCACCCCCCCAACCCGTGCTTCTTGTTGCCGCGGGGTGAGAAAAAACTAATACGCCCAGCTTTGCTTCGTCATCGGAAATCCAGCGCTACCTCAAGACTGTCTGTCGCCAGTTTGGCCTGGAACAATACATCAGCTACAACTCCAAGGTAGCAGAGGCACACTGGCAAGAAGAGAAAGGCGCCTGGTCTGTCAAAATCGAAGGTATTGATGCCACGGCAGAATATGAGAGCGAGATTCTCGTGAATGCAAGCGGCATTTTGAACAACTTCAAAATGCCCGATATTCCAGGTCTGTCGGATTTTGGCGGACCGGTCATTCACACCGCTGCGTGGGATGACAGGATCGACCTGGTCGGCAAACGGGTCGCCATTATTGGTGCTGGTGCAAGCGCCGTTCAGCTGCTTCCAGCCATTCAGCCCCTATGCAGCTCCATCGACATATACATCCGGACGCCGTCGTGGATCTGCCCACCAGTTGGGCTGCCGCCGGGGAGCATTGACAACCCGTCTTATACAGACGCGGAGAGGCGCAGGTTCCGGGAGGATGCCAAATACTCGCTGGCGACGCGCAAAGATATGGAGACTGAGTTCAACAACATGTTTGCAGCGTTCTTCAAGGACAGCCTGGAGCAGAAGGACATGCGTGCACAGTATCACCGTCATATGACGAGCCTCGTCCCTGATCCAAGTCTTCAGGCGCAGCTTATCCCGCCGTTTGAAGCGGGATGTCGTCGTATTAATCCGTCGGCGCCGTACCTTGTCGCGCTTCAGAAGTCCAACGTTCGCCCCGTCTTTGATCCCATCACTCGCATCAGCAAAGGCGGGGTTGTCCTGGCATCGTCGGAAAAGCCCCAAGACGAGATACATCCTGCTGATATTCTCATCTCTGCGACCGGCTTTGACACAAGCTTTCGACCAAGATTCCCCATCATCGGCCGAGCGGGGGTAGACTTGAGGGACCTGTGGAAGACTGACCCTGTCTCCTATATGGGAATTGGCGTAGCGGGGTTCCCAAACTACCTGACGTTTCTAGGGCCTAATACACCCATCTCGAACGGTGGTTTGATGGGTAAGTTGATTTATCTCGGCTGCAGCTTCCATACTGGTCCCGACACTGTGCACAGAGTAACGTGGAGCTGACACAAGGGACGGCCTGTAGGTGTTCTCGAGGCAACGAGCGATTACTTCGTCCGCCTTCTCGGCGAGTTTTGTCGCCAGAACGTCAAATCATTCGACGTAACGCAGGCTGCACAGGATGACTTCTCCCAGCACACCTTAGAATACATGAAGGACATGGTGTGGTCTGGCACCTGTCGCAGCTGGTGTACGCACAACCCACCCCTCCATCCTATTAGAACCACACATCTAACGCCACGGGGCTTATCAAGTCAAATCAAATACCACTGGCCGCGTCTCGGCGCTGTGGCCAGGTAGCTCCCTCCAGTATATCCAGGTATTGGCGGAGGACCGCTTCCACGACTACGCATGGTCTTTCAACGGCAACCGGTTTGCGTATTGGAAAAAGGGTTTTTCGTGGATCGAACGGCCGGACCTCGACCCGCTGGGGGTCGCCATGACAGATGCACGGAGGAGCATGAACACCATACCTTACGTGGGAGCTGATCTTAGCTTCTACCTTACTGAGGCGGTACCGCTGCCCGCCAACGCAGACAGCGAAGCACCCGCACCAATGACCTTCTGGAGGTGGGTTTGGCGTGGTATCTGCCGCCTCTCCAGGCTAAAACACTGAAAGCCGCAACAGCCAGAGGAGGACATGTGTATGTAGTGCGGCTAGCAGAACAATCAAGACCCGCGTTGAACACTGGCGCATTCCATAACACGAGGCAAAAGAGAGGGTGTAAATACAATTAAACCCCTATATCTATCGCTCGAGTTGCCTGAGAGCATTGCTGCTTTCCTATGGGCCGAACAAGCCTTCAAGTACACATACTGCACCGACCTGTTGCTGGGAAATCTAACACATCCAAAAAAAAAAAAGATGCACGGACCACAATAGCAGCTCAACCAGTGTGGCCCGTGCCTTGCCCCCAACTCAAAGTTACACCATGTTCCTCCTTGCTCCCCCTACACAGATTCGCAAGCATCGCATACGCACCGCAACCCCTGATTCCTCAAAAACCGTTTTCCAAAGTTGACCGTGATCTGCTCTCCATGGCGAATGCTCCTCAAAGCCTCAACAGCTGACACCCAATGGCCCGAAACCCGGATGACCCGGAGCCGCGCAGACGCGCGACAGGAATGGTTTAATAGCCGGAAGCAGTTACCAACATTTCCCATGTATATCTGGCAGACGACAGTTTCATCGCTGATATCGGGACGAGCTACTTCTATCACGAAGCTGCTGTTGGTCGGATATGTCCCGGCAGGGACAAGTTCGCCGCAAAGCTGCCCGATGACGTCGCCCTTCCGGTAGGATACGTTGCCTTCTTGCGCTTCTGTTGCCTGTAAACCGAGGCCTTGCCTTGCGTAAAGCTTGATGCGGAGTCTCTTGGCTTGCAATCTTTCGTGGATGCATGCGCAGTGTATCTCGGTGCAGAGGTCGCACTGCCGGTCTGCCGGCGGCACGGCGAGAGGATGCGCAGGCCATGGCCAATCAGCCAGCCATCCTGCAGGCTTTGGCCAGTCCGAGTGGTGGATTGGCTCGTAGATGTTCTCCTCACAATTGGAGACTGGCTGTAGGAGGGACATCAGGCTATTCTCATCCAGAGTGCTGCTCCAGTTACGGAGTTCGGGCTGCTCCTTCTCCCACTTGAAGTCCCCATCGCACCTAATCCCCATGACCATGTCTTGGAATACGTTGCAGGCGTGACAGATGCGCTCTACAAATGGTGTGTCTATCAGTTGTCTGAATTTATCCATCTCATTGGTTTTCATGCTGAGGTAGTCCTTTGCTGATAAGCAGTACGGTTCCTCTGCCCTCAACGGTATGACTGATAAGAGCCCGGTAAAACGACCGCAGATAGATCGCCATAGCCGACCTTGCTTAAGCTGGTAGAGGAATCTTGGTCGTTCCGCTTGAGACCATCCCAACTTGTCCATAACCTCATTCAGTTGAATTGGGTCGGCACGGATCCGACCCATCTTGCTGTCGTCGACGGTTTCGGCAATGTGATACTGGACAAGCCGGATGATGAAGGTGTTGTAATTCGACCTTCCCGTGAGAGATCCAAGACTCTTGAAAAGTTTGAGGGCACGTTCAATGCCAACGTCCTTGCCGTGCAGAAGGCCAGTCTCCGTGTCCAGGGATCGCCTGCTGAAGATAAGGGAGCAAAATTGACGGATAGCGGGACCCCCTTGAATAGCAGCCACCTGCAAGAACATCTTGGGAACCGGTGGATCAGTAGTTGTACACGGGGGGAATCTGCAAAGTTTGTCGTAGTTCATCAATTTGGCCATCAGCTTTCCTACTTCTGGAGGTACGTTGTTCATGGCGGTGGGGATTACGCCCATGCTTTTGACCTTTTTGGCCGATTTTGAAACTCTAGCAGGAAGCCAATGTCTTTTCGTGCCTGCTCCTCCTCCCGGGCTGCTCTGAATACATCTCGTCGACGACGGTAACGCCGTTCTTAGGACAACAGCACCATTCTGTGCTTCATTCCCGACGCCGATAGCTTCGGAAGGTTGCTTGGCACAGGCCGAGGAAGTTTGAAAATGGGTCGCACAAGATATTGAGGAAGCTGAAGTGGAGTGATTGGACCTGGGCCCCGGTGTCTCGTCGTGCGTGTCCTTGGAACTTGGAGGCGTAGGCTGTTGCGAGCTTGTTGGGAGCGACGCATACTGGCCAGGGCTAACAGGCGTAGGTATCACTTGGACAAATTCTTCCATATCCAAGGCTTCCCCCGCAGATGAGCGCTGACGGTTTGATCGGCTTGTTTCCCATCCTCCTATCGCTGGGGCACCTGCAGTCTCCCGTGACAACCGGTATGAGGCTCTCAGCTTGGCTGTTTTTTCAAAGACAATGTGTAAGGATCCAAAGATAAGTCCCAGCTGGACATCCTCTTTGTGAAGACCTCCAGGAAGATTATCCGTTGATCGGGAAACAGTCGGACCGAGACTCTGATGGCGGCCTCGGTCACTCTCCAGCTTGAGCTTAACGGCCTTGAGCTGCTGGAGAAGCCCCCAACAACGATGATGAGATCGTCCCATTCTTGAACGTCTCTAAAGCCTGGGGTCGTATCCATGAGTTCACCAGGGAAGACGCAATGAAGCTATTGCAGAAATATTGTATTGGAGAAAGATGGATGTGAATTCATCAGGGGCTGATAAGGGATGCGGGGTATATATGTTGCAAGGATATAAATCACGTGGGCTTATCTGATTGAAGGCTTCAACTGAGTGCGCAGGAAAGAATTGATAATTTTGCATGGCCTGCATGTTGGATTGCACCGGTGGCTGGTAAAATTCGGTCTTGGGCTTGACATACTTTTATATTCTTTACTAATTATTAAGTCTATGATTAACTCTCTTATGAGTGGTTCATAGATTATCCCCTGCTACAAAGCTGTGCAAGCTAGCTACGCAACCAAATGTACAACTAGTTGCTATCTACTGAGATACACTTAACAAATTACTAACAATAAGCCTACCGATATCATTAAGTATTAACCTTGGATATCTGTCAGCTAAACCCAACCGATGTAGAGTATATAACCGCAGAACTAACCTAACATTGACCACATAATAACTTAGGATCTGTTTCAAATCCAGCAACTAGGCTGATCTACTTAACAAATTCTGTTTTTCTAATACGCAGTCTGAACGAAATTTTTAACATCTAATATCAATGACAAATCAGGCAGTGATCCTTGCCTAGGAGATGACAGAACATTGTTGCAATTTCAACTAGTATTTAGGAAAAATGTGGGAGTAGCTCGCTGGCGCTAAAGATAGTCGACAACTTTTCCATGTAATCAGGCTCGATACCATTTCCAACATGAAGGTCGTCTTGCGTTCAAAGCCCATGTAGCAACACCTCGATGCACTGAACCTCTTGGCTGGGATAGGTTATTTGGGTGCCGGAGACCAGGTTTAAAATGCGGATCCTCTCGGTGTCCGTCCGCGCTTCGCAGCCGAAGATAAGTAGATGTAGCGATCGCTCACAGTTACTTATGTGTTCCAGAAGGTGTAACCCTCTCTCAATCAAGATCCGCAATTCAGAAGGACTAATCAGTTGTTGGCCTGTTGTGCGGATGAAATACACAAGAATTGAGGTTCGAAAGAAATCGGCTTTTGCTGCAGCGTCCGACGTCAAAGCTGATGGCACTTCCACACCTACAACTTTCCTCTTAAGATGTGCCATCTTTGTCTTATATTCTTGCGTCCGAGTTGCAGGATGTCTGGACGGAAGGATCTCTGCAGCCACCTCCGATAGGAGACGTACTGGTTCGAAGAAATGCTGATACTCGGGAGGTTTTTGGTACTGGATTATGCCGGTCGCGGCATGCCATCTCACTCTGTCCCCTGGGCGGTATGGCACCCTGAAACTATAATTGGGGTTCTATACTTCAGGGCTCGACCGTCGCCAGTGACGCAGGCTGGACCGTGCCAGGACTTCGTGATAATAAAGCCACTCCAACATGATTGGGCCCTCGTTGACGTTACTAGAACTTTCCAGTGTTACGCTTCAATTATCTTTCCCGCAGCTTGCAGGTGAGAGAACCACTGCCTGAACGCTACCTGTTTCTGGACTGGTTGGTATATCTGTAAGTACCCATGCAATAAAAGCGATTTATTATCGTTAAATAAAACCTACAGAATTGAAAAGGGCCTTGTTCTGTTTCCGTGAATTCAGACAGCGACCGTGGCAGCGATCGTCTCAAAGTCGGTACAGCATTGTATCGTGCATATGCAAGGTACCGGTAGACCTCAATATCCCAGCTTGTCACGCTGATCATGTGAAGGTGCTTTGGGGGTATGATTCCGCGTTGATTATCTTCCAGTGGTTTGCCCTGACTGATCATGAATCGTTTTCTGTCGGTTTTCTTGGGCCAGGAGAAATGAAGTCCGTAACCCTGGCAAACTCGCTTTGATCGAATGCATCTCGAGCATCGCGGTAATCGGCGGTCACAGCTCACTTTGCGGTCTGCAATGTTTTCTTGAGCATAGTACTCCTCACGAGGGAAATGGCGGCCAATAGTGAGGATGTTGAGGGAATAGGAGTAGGCTAATAGCTCACACTGCTGGGAACACACCTATCCAAGTTCCGCATTTTCTCTTCAGTGATAGACCAACATCCTGCCTGGGCTGAGAAAACTCCATCGCTCATGTTCCTAGTGGGTTAGATCCATAAGTAGCGAAAGAGAATGTGATCAACCTTAGACGTCGCAAAAGTTGCTAAATAGACAGCATTTGATTTCTAAGCAGATTTGAATTCCAAGCAGACATTAGACGAGCTAATGCAAGTATTCACAACCACGTGGCACTAGGCAAGGGCTGGCGTCCTTGCACTCCATTTGCAAGCATTTTTCTGCGAGGCAGAGTAGGTATTCCTAGAAGTCACTGTTACACCGCCAGAACATGCTTGATCGACACGATGAATGAAACCCAGTAACAAACCAAATGGCAACTATCTGCGAGAATTCTAACCCACTACCCACTGTCCAAGATTATCACAGAGTTTTTCTTAGTTATTACTGGCCGGTTCCGAAAATTCAACCGATCAGAAGCGTGTTAATCATAGTCAAAATATGTATATATGGACGATTCTGTTTTCTCTTGTAAACTTGAATCTCGTTCCATCATGTTAGTCTTTATTAGATCTACTAACCATTAGATACCAATCAGATTTATTCACTCTTGCCCAAATATCTCAATCAGGACAACTAGGAGAATCACCGCCCTACTTCATGCCTTCTTACCTCATTACTGGAGCCAACCGAGGCATCGGCGTATGATTTACTCCCGAAGCTCCCGACGGTTATTGATGGCACTGACAGTAACTCACACAGTGGGCGTTTCTCAGGAATACCTCCGCTGACGCGAAAAACACCGTCATTGGTACTGTCCGCGACAAAGTTTTCGTGGAGGAGAAGATTGCCAAAGAGCTTGGAGACCGACAGAACATACACATCGTGGAGGTGGAGTTGAGCAGCTATGACAGTATCAAGGTTTGCAATTCAATACCCTGGATACCGTCAACATACAGAAGGCTAACCCGACACCATATATATGTAGAATTCGGTCGATGTCGTACCAGCATCTCCGGTGGTAAGCTCGACTATATTATTGCCAACGCGGGGTACATCCCCACTTCGTCGTCATTCTTGCCCGTTGGGAAGATGTAGGTTTGCTTCCAAGATTCACACACACTACGAATGAATTTGACGTACGTGCACCGCTTGGCGTACACTGACACATCTTTTCCTCCAGCGGAAACTCTCATAAGGACCTTGAAGAGGACCTCTTGGGGTGCTTCAAGGTTAACGTCATCGCAAACGTCCACTGGTTCAACCTCTACATGCCGCTGGTCCTTAAGGTAAACATCAAAAAGGTCATCGCCATGACCTCCATGTTGGCCGACATCGACCTCATCAACCAATACCACGTCGACTTCTGTGCGCCCTACTCTATCAGCAAAGGGGCAATGAACGTTGCTATCAGTAAGTTCCACGGCCAATACGCCAGGGACGGGGTTTTATTCATGGGGATCTGCCCCGGGTTGGTCGAGACAGGACGCAGTGACAATCGTGAGTTTGACTAACCCAACGTTACGTGAAATATCCAGGTTGACCCTTTATTGACATGGACTGCCCTCTGTATAGTAACTCAGCATCAGCAAAAGGATGCCGAACGAGCGTTTGCAATCTTAAGAGAGTACGCTCCGAGCTCTGGTATAAGAGCCCCGGATGATTCTGTAATATTATGAAGGTCGTGTGCAAGTCTAGCCTTCAATAAGGATATTGAGGTGTTTACCTTTCTCATCTAGGCTCTAAGCAATGCCTCTGAAGGGTAATAGAACAATTGTGTGTAGGAAAAGGAGGGTATTGTAAAAAGGACTACGGCAAGAAAAGTAGGACAAGGGGTATCACGTAACCATTAGAACAAGATAAGGATTATTCAACATTTGCATGTGACCCGGTTAGTTAGATAAGCCTTATACTTGTTAGCTGGCTCTTGCTCAGACAGTACTGTTGACGTAATGTTGCGATAGCTTTAGAACAAAATTTCGTTAGCATTTACTGAAGATGCACTGACTTGATGTCGGCGCTTTTCTCTGGTGCGTGTGCTTGCCCCGTCGAGAGCGGATAGTGGCCGATGACGGCAATGGAGATTAACAGTCGGCTGATCTTATACCCGGCGCCCCAGGAAGCATATGCCTCCGCCTCTAAGTCCACGAGTTTGTGGAATCCCCGAAATCGATTCCCAAAGCTCCGGAGGGGACGTGTTGCGCTCAGGGGCCAAACACTATGGAAAATGTGCGTGACAGACTAGACAAGGTTCTCGTACCAGTCTGCAAGCTATCCCATGGTCGGTTTGGATGTATCCGCCTCAACGACTTGGGTTTTGGCAAGCTCGGCGTCTCTTAAAGGAATGCTCCAGGCACAGGTAGTGAAGGCTTTGAAATGCCTTTCTCTTGTCAACCTGCTGCTGCTCTGTCGGTTTAGATACACCACTGCAGTATGAGCCGGCTGTCTGGACAAGTACGCGGCAAGATGGGGATCCAGGCTACCGCTGGCTCCCATCACAAGCACCACCGTGTGCAGGTAAGCACGGGGCGGCAAGGCAGTGGGAATGGCAAATTTGGCCGAGGATTCTTTTGACCATTGCCGTGACGTCGACCCCGCGCGTGGACAGGTCCGTCGTCAAGGACTCAAGTTCAGAGCCAAGGACTTCGGATTGACGGGCAGCCGGCTCTGGTACGCACCACGGGTTATGGCGAGGAAGACCGTCTACTCGAGCGACCTCTTGAGGCTGACATTAGGCATAGGGCGTTACTGGCAATGAATATATGCTGGATTCCGATGAGGTCGTCTGCCGGTGGCTTCTCGATGTCGTGAACACGTTATTTGACGAAGTGATAGTCCCTGAAATTGCTCCTCGCGGTTGCTAGAAAGACAGGAGAATGGTCAGTGAACGTTTCCCCGACGGGAACAATCAGGGTACCCAGGAGGGGCAACATCCATTTAGTCATCCCGCCGGTGCTTGAGCTCATCTCAAAGATACGGAGCGTCCCACCGCCGCGGGGAATGCTGGAGCCGGGCGGCGGAGGAAATCGGCTAGTTTCTTATATGAGAGCATGTTCAGGGAGGAGTCGCTTTATAAGGACCCCGAGCTGCTTGAAAAATATACGCCAGCAAATCAACTGGCGGCGCTGCAAACTCACTAGGCCCAAAAAGACGACACGGATGGCAAGCTCTCGTAGCTAGGGGGGAGGGATGATGAGATACGTTAGTGACATAGGGATCTATCAATTTCCGCCTTTGACTAGACCATAGTTTTTACATTCATTTAAATAGGTATCCTACAGAGTGCCACATTCCTATAGTGTAGCCCTGTGGGGAATGGTAGTCACTTAGACTGTGGCCGAAGTATTATTCATTCTTTCTGAAGCAAAAGCGACTTTTCTTTGGACAGGGAGGTAAACGTTTATTAGTTTTGAGTGGTAAAAAGAGGAGGAAAAAGTACTGATACCATTTGGCATTTGATGAGAAAAACGTTAAAGTGCGAATCGAGACAAAACACCGATGTTTTTAGTCAGCTACCGTTCGACTCGTCCGACTTCAATTCGAGTAAGTAGGCAGACGCGCTATCCTTCGAGTCTATCCGGAGTACCAAAATCCAAATCCTAAAGCATTTTGCCCCTCAAGTTCGGCTAGTTCCCGGTACAAGTTTTCGGGCAGTGTCTTATCTTTGAATCGTTCTCAGCCCCAGCGGAAGGTCTGCCCGATGGTCTGGAATGACGCTGTGGACTAAGGCTTTTCATTGAAGTCAACTGCATTGTGGAGGCTGGCGGACCTCATGGCGCTGCCGCATGCGGGTTAGCACAACAATGTTTTCCGCTAATGTGAATCTTGGCGGCCGGACGTAGTAGTGGTTCGATGCTAGCGCCAACACTGGGCTTCTTTAACATTCCTGAGCGTGTGTTATATAAGTCGAATTCCATGCCTTTGCCTACGGCAAGTCATTTCTACAGGTTAGTTGGACATGCTGGTTTGTATTCCACCCTCCATATTCATGCTCCCGCACGAAATCTAAGCCTCGTAACCGGCGTAACAATTCGCCAGAACCCTGGACTATCCTATAAAAACACCAACGCCGAGGAAACCTTTATACTCGAACTGCAGGTCGATAAATCGACAGTTGCGATGCAGAACCAGAGCTTTACATGGTCAGGGGATACAACCAAGGCATACACAGACGTGACTAGAGCGCCACTTCTCATCGGGATAACTGCAGGGTTTTTAGGACTCACGCTCGTTTTCGTTGTGCTTCGCATCTACGTACGAGTCATTGTCTTAAAGAAGTGGGGTTTGGATGATGCCCTTATTGTTGTCTCGTACGTAAGTTAGCAACATCTATCGGTTCCCCAGTGAGTAATCCGGATTGAGTCCAACATACAACAGATCCTGTCAATGGTTACCGGCGTTATCTTTTGCGTTTGTAAGTGTTTAATCATCTTCAATTTTCTTTTACTGCAAAGAGATAGAAGACTTACATGGATCCAGGTACTACAACTGGACTTGGGATGCATATTTGGACGGTTCCGGTTGGGCTGCAACAATCCGGTCGTAGGGTAAGTAAGCTAAATGACCGGAGATGTCTCCTCGAGATTTCTGACTTATACCGACAGATGACGATCGCGGCTACGTTGGGATATCACATAACCTTCATCGTGATTAAGATCGCGATCCTTTTACAGTACCGCCGAGTCTTTGCGCTTCCCCACTTTTGCGTGTTCTGTGACGTGATGCTCGGCTTCATTGGCATGTTCGGTATTGCAGTCGTGGTTTCTTCTATTGTAATCAGTGCTCCAACCTGGAGGGGCGACACGTTTGAGTTTGAGCGGTACAATCAGGAAGCATGGTGGCTCGCAACGGCCACCGTGCATTTGGCGACGGATATCATCATCTTCTTGATGCCAATGCCAATGCTGAGCAAGTTGAAGATGGAGAAGGTGCAAAAGTGTGCACTGATAGCTACTTTCGGAGTGGGATTTCTGTGAGTCTCTGCCACCATGAAATATTGGATTGGAAGACTAACACTAAGCAGAACAACCGGCATCTCCGTTGTCAGGATTTCAACAATTACGCGTGTCTTCACAGCAGACGTGACGTGGGATGTCATCCCAGCACTCGTATGGTCTGAAGTAGAACTATGCTGCGCCGTCATTTGCGCTTGCATACCAACACTCCGTCCACTTCTTCCTGCCAGCAGGTTAACCCGTATGCAACAACGTATGTATGATCGACAGACTTCAGCGGCAAGCGCAGAGATGCGTCTTACTCGAAAACCGCTTGATCACTTAACTATGAAACATCCCGTAGATACGGTAGCTACAAACTTGAGAGTCACTAGAGCATCCTGAGCAAGACATCTGTAGTTTCACACATTAAGCTAAACATAATACTAGAAACCAGTAAAGTGTGTAGAATAATAAGGTGTCTAGTCTAATTATCGTAGTAACCGTTCTTGATCTCATTAGGCAAGGTAGACTTTATTAGCGTGTTCTGCCTCTACAATGATATACAGCTAATACATACTCAGATCATTGTTTATGCTAATTGAAACCATTTAATCTTTATGAATTTCAAAAGAATTTAATTCTTACCTTCACATGATTAAGAATTCTGTAACTATTACTGCCATTCTTAGCTTGGCGTGGTCCTCAACCACTGATCATATCATCGCCTTAGCTGCTGACGGCACCTTGGCGGAAGAAGGTAGCTCTGGTCATATTATCGGCAGCAGCCATGCCCGTAGAATCGTAGAACACTCTGACTCACACTGTTTACACAGCCAGTACATCTATACCAGCAACTAGGGAACATAATTTGATGTCGTGAAGCTAGGACAGCTTCGTGTGGCTGGTACTAAGCGGGAAGACCCACAGGTGTGGCTTCCCAATGCACAGACCTCTCTGAACGAGTATTTCTACATGTTTTCCGCTTCATAGCTAGATTCTAAAAGGAACAACTACTTTATACTCTCACAAGCAGAACCCACGGTTCATCACAGTTATGAGCCCAGAAGAATCGGCCAAGATACAAGAACGTCTAAAGGAAAGAAAATAGCACAACACCTCATACGTCCTAATTAACAAAAGTTAAATAAAGACTTTGAATTAGAGGAGGAGATTTCTGAAAAAAGAAGAAGGATTTAAACTAAAAAGACAGTTAAAAAAACAACTCTAATAAGGGATCTATATTATAAGCCACTATTAATTATATAGCTATTAACCTATTACTTTTAACTAAAATTAATAAAAAAAAATAATTATATATAAAATATTTTTATATAATGTACTTGTATAATTACTAGGCTAACATAGCGAGTAGGCTACCTTCCTTTACCTTTTTACCATTTATATAAGTTAATTAAATTATAATATATAAAATTAATTAAAACTAGTCTTCATCCTTTTTATTATTATTATCCTAAACTACTTTATAGGTTTATACGTTATGTCTAGGCTTTCTGTAATTACTATATTATTATACGCGTAGTTTAGTACTTTCTGTATAACCCTCTATTTAAATGTTA